CTGTGGGATGATGGACGAGTCGTTCAGCCGGCAATCGTTATCGATATCGGTGTCGTTTTCTTCAACGACGACGGCTTCCGCGAGCTCTTCGAGGCCCAAAGGACGGAGGGAAAAGCTCAGCCAGGTAAGGGCCTCGCGGGCAATCTCCTTATCTTGTTCTGGGATGCGGTTCAGGATTGCCGCGTAGGTCTCGTTGAGGGTGGAGGGCATGTCTTGCAGCGCTCGCTTCACATCCCGTGGCGTGCGGAGCACACTCAGTCTGTCCATGCAGACCTTTGCCCATCGAAAGCTAGTAAATGTCAGCTCATGACATAGAATACTGGTGCCTTTTCGTAACGTACGTCCCATGAGCATCTGATACGATCTTGGTCCTTATCTCCTCTTGGATTTCGGGCCTCAGGGTTTGAAAACTGCGTTCGTTCGATAGTCTATGTTTGACGTACAGCTCGATATCCGAATCGATGGACTCAGTGGTCATTTGCCTAAGATATATCTTGGGGGATGCATCAACTGGCTCATGAGTACAAGTAACCAAGACGCGGAGATTAGCATGTTTCTCGCAAAGATCTAGCAAGATCTGAATGATGAGGGCCTCGTGACTGTTCTCGTTCAAGGCGTCAATTGCGAGATAGAAAATGTCGAACAGCCCCAACGCCTGGTCCATGACCTCATGGATCTGGGTGATGGACAGGTTGTTCTGGGGTATCAAAGTGTTACCCGACTGCCTGAGCGGCCGAATATGATCGAGGATTTCTGGTCTCACTGCTGCAACCTGAGCCAAGATGGACCCAAACACATTCGGTATCGCTTGAGACGCAGTATCATCCAGCGAGCAACAGTGAAACCCCAGACCAACTTTGCTGGCCGAGTGTGAGGCATTGGAGTCGATCCGCTCTTGAAGCTTCTCGACCAGGTGCGAGCTGGAAAGGTGTGAGCGATGGCAAGCCAAACCTTGGCAGCAAGAGACTCACAAGAGAACCGTTTTACCCGAACCCGCTGGTTGCATTAGTTGAGGCAGCTTGACGGCAGGCGGGGGCTTCGGGGTCGAACTTACACCGGCCGGCAATCCAAAACACAGGCCAGTTGGTCGGAGCGCCCTCCTCCCATGCCGAGAACCGGCCGGCATGGATCCATTGCCCGCTCCCCGGCACTCGGTCAGCAACAGAGTCACGCAGTTTGTCTCTGCTATTGACGGGCGACAACCATTTAAGCAATTCGGCGATCTCTTCAAGCTCTTGGTGGGTCTTTTTGTCGAGTATGTCTTGGCGCACCATCGCTGTCAAAAGCTGCATCTCCGTCAAGACGGTCGCGGTAGCGTCGACCGAGTCGCGCATCAGAATCATGATGAACCAGGTTTTAGACCTCTCAATGGCTGCGAGATACTGTTCGACGTCATCCGACTTGAATGGCCATGTCAGGCTCTGGATGGCCTGGCCTACTTTGGAGGTGGTGGGAGTTCCGAGCTTCTTTTGTATAGATTCAAGGGTTTCGTTGGTCAGGGCGAGCATAGATTGGACCTGAGCCTGCCATGGGGCAAACGAGTCTGATTTTGTGTGAAGATTACACTGGTACATGGCTCCTTTGAGAGCGAACAGCTCCTGGGTTAGTTTGCGAATGTCATCTTTGGCGGATCTGACGGCAGAAACGTAGGTGCAGAGACGATCAACGACTTCGGTGATGAAGGCGGCGACTTCGATGATAGTCAAAGCCTCGGCCATTTGGTGCTCGGGGACGGCGCGGGCGGGCTTGGATCAACGGACGAAGCTAATCTAGCGATCGAAACGGGTCAGTGGTTGGTGGCTGGCCATAGCTCAGCCGGTGACGTCGGTCGAGGGGCAGTAAGGTACGGATGCCATCGCACATGCATTGCAGGGTGAGGTGAGGTGAGGTGAGGCGAGGAGCTATACTAACCACAAGACTATGGATGGGTAAGGTAGAAGGAGTCATGCGGGAGGCAGCCCTTCTAGTTCCCGGAACCGTACTACCTTGTTTGGAAGTGAATGCCCTTTAGCAGTTGCAGTTGCAGATGCAGATGGGGCGCCACAAAGCCGGACGATTGGCAGGGTCTCTCGGGCGCGACAAATTTCGCAGGTTTCCGAACCACTCGTTGATAGCTTGACGCGGGTGGTTGAGTTAGACGTGGTGGGTTTGAACTTTCTCGGTCGAGGTGGGAGGATTGGATAGGATGGAGGTCGGGTTGATCGCAGACGACGGGAGCGGGGCAGAATTCTGAACCCTCCACTTCCACATTAGACTTGACTGCCCCGTTGCTTGTCTGCCCCGCGACGGCGAACAACACCACTCCATCGCACCTAGGTACTGAACCTGTCACAGTCATGGATGCGTGGAAGATTCAGGTCGGCGGTAAATGTGGGGGAGATGTAACTGCAGAATCCGTTCGTTAGGTTCGGTTTTGTGGGGGGGGGGGGGTAGGAGCCCCTGCCTCGTGCAGCCTGCCTCCACTGTATCCGTACCTACCTAGGGTAGGCAAGGTAAGTGCCTACCGAAGGAAAGGAAAGTGATGTGAAGGAAGGAACGTGCAGTTGAAACTTCCTGCCACAGAGGCAAGGTGGTGGTGTGGTGGTGGTGGTTCACGATGCCTGCCCAGCAACCACAACGAACTGACTTGCCTTGCCTTGCCTTGCCTTGCCTTGCCCTGACTTGCCTGCCTGCTTCACCCGCCATGAGCCGGAGCGCAGGGCATGCCAAGAAGGAGAATGCCGCTTTCGCTGTCCATGATTCCACACCGCAACCCACAACGGACGGTGCTCCCACATGGACTTCCTTACCAGCTCGCACGGGGATATTCGCATAGACGGGCATTTGCTGCTCTGTACCTACTCAACAATGCGTGCGTCGGACCAAGATCGTCGCAGGACGGAAAGGCAGACAGCATATCAGACGCCGAGTTCCCGAGTTGACACGGACATCTGGCACGAGAGTTTGGTTCTTGCAACGTTGGACCGACTACATGAGGCGCTCATTGAATGACAACCGTCGGGAAATCCGGTGGGTGGCTCACGCATATCCACTGTCCACCTCCTGTCATGTCCATCCAGTCTGCTCTCTTCCATGTCATACCTACCTTGCCTTGGGAAAGGTATGCACGACAATTCACCCAATCATCCACTTCCCTGAGCTGGCTGTTACTTCCCAGAGCAACAGCTCACGGCGTTTAGCCAGGCTGGAACCAGCCCACTCCACCACGCCTTTCCGCAATGCGCCCGGGCATGGGCATGGTTGTTCCCTTCTTGGCGGTTCGCCTCCCCATTCGTGCATCCACGGGCCGCGGAGATATCACGTCGTCCCAAATCTTTCGGATAGCCTTGGGGGCCGCCAGTGCCAGTTTACGGCCTAGGCTACTCTGTACCTGCCCACCTGCTTCACCTACCGCCTACCTTGCTTACCGCTTGATACATACTAAGTGGTTACTAAGGTACCCGGTAGGTAAGAAAGCCAACATAGAAAGGTAAGGTAGGTTCAAGTTGAGGGCTTGGCTACATACCCAAGCAAGTAGCCCCAAGGTTTGTTCAACTGATGGAGTCATTGTTGTTGCACTTTTGTATTCGTTCGCCCTTGCAGGTGCATCCTAAACCGAGACGAGGCCTTGTTACTCCCTCCACTCGAATTACCGACTTCGTCTCCAGAACTCCCATCCACTCAATTGGGCGGCGACTTCCACCTACCTACCTACCTTGCCCTACTCGGCACTTAGACGCCTTTTCGGCACGGCCTGTTATACACAGCAGCCCGCGTGTCCAACGATTCATCTGAGGCGCTCTACTCATGGTATTTGTTATTCTTAGCATCGTCCGTCTCTTGGGTCCAAGCCACAAACTGACGCCCCAACCTCCACCCGTCCAAGAAGAGAAAAAGAGGCAAAAGGTCTAGACCTGTCAAAGAAGACTGATTTCTCATCCCGGCACGGCATCCCCCTCCACACAGGCATCTGTGGCGAGGCACCATCCCGCACCAGTTGACACTTCGACCCAACACCGCGACTCATTCCAACCATCCCGGCCTACCTAGGTAATCAATTGCCTTAGGTACCTTCCATTACCCCAGGATGGTGCGGACCTTGAACCGCACTGGGGGCACCGGCACAGAACGTTTCGTTCCCGCAACACAGACTCAGACTTCCTCCCAAGCCAAGCCAGCCTAGTGCAGGTTGTCCAGTCTTGGCATACTGCTTAACGTGAGCAATATCGCTGTATCCGGTACTCTTATGCATTCATACCACACTTCTCGAGTCCTTCCAGCACGCAGACACTGGACTTTGCTGGGATGGCGCACGAGACACTGAACCCCTCCAAAAGCCCATCCCGGGGCCTATCCATCCTGACGTCCCTTTCCCGGCCAGCTTTTTCCCTCATAAGAACATGTGCTGATTCCTTTCTAGAGTCGTCGAGAGGCTCTTCTCGTTCTCGGTAACACCATCATCAACAACGACAACAACACAACAGACGTCACTTCGAGCAAACATGATTGAAGAACTTTAAGACCCAGTCACTTCGAGCCTTGGTTGCAGCTCTGCACCCTTTGAAGTCGTCCATCCGTCAAAGCCGCCTTCACTCTCCCGTCCGGATGCCCGTCAGCCAAGCCACCCCCAGCTGCCCTGCTTGTCTCTTCGCTTCGCGCATCAGACGCTGCGTTGCGCTGCGCCAATCCCGCACGCATACCCTCCCTGCACGCCCCCGATCGTCGCTCAAGCTGTTTATCTCGACGACAGGGCAAGGTGTCTATCCTTATCGATACCTTCCTCTCCCTCCCCTACCTGGCTCTACCTGAACACTCCGCGACCCCCTCAGATCCCCGCCTGTCGCATCCAGATCCCCGGCAAACCTCGCGCCTGATCTTGCTGCTGCACCGACTCCATTCCCTGGGAATCCGCCCCCATCGCGTTCCCACACCTCCGTGCGCCTCCGCGTCTGCCCCGGACCCAGCATATCGGGCCGTGAGATTGACGTCTACCGTAACTACCGGCCAACCAGACAAACAGCATGGACAGCCAACACGTCTTCTCTCAGGCGTCGTCCCTCAAGCCCAGCAAGAGCCCTCCCGATTCCGCTTCTGGGCCACAGCCCAAGAAGAAGTCTCGCAGGGGCGGCGACGGTCCCCAGAAGCGACGTTGCGTGAGTACCGCCTGTGTCGCATGTCGCAGGAGGAAGTCGAAATGCGACGGTGCGGTTCCCAGCTGCGCTGCCTGCGCCAGCGTCTACGGTACCGAGTGTGTCTATGATCCCAACTCGGACCACCGTCGGAAAGGTGTCTACAGAGAGAAAGCCGACAGTATGAAGGCCCATAACTCTACCCTTCAGATTCTCATCGAGGCCATCCTCAACGCCAACGAGGACGAAGTTCCAGACATTGTCAGGAGAATCAGGACCTGTGACAGCCTCGACGTCGTCGCCCAGCAGATCTTGCGACGAGAAACGCCGTCCCACGAAGCTGCAGAAAACGACGAGAGAGAGGACGAGTACCCTGCCGACCAGCCCTTGGAGGGCGAAAGGGAATTGGCTCGCAAGATGGGCGAATTGCGTCTCGAAAATGGCTCCGTGCGCTTCATTGGCGGCACCTCCAACCTGATCTATGTTGACCTGGGCGAAGTCAGCTCCAATGAGCCTGAGTCGGACATCAACTTGGCAAATGAAGATCCCGTCACCAGTTGGACGCGAGTGACCAAGGATAAGGAACTCATCGCCCATCTGCTGAACATGTACTTCAACTACCACTACACGTACTTTACGGTTATGTCAAAAACCCTATTCTACCAAGACTTTTTTAAGGGCAAGCATGGGGTAAACCACAGCAATACTGTGTACTGCTCCCCATTACTCGTCAATGCCATCTTGTCTCTTGGGGCCCACTTCACGAGCGTGCCCGGCGCCTGCGGAACACCAGGCGACAGCCGTACCAAGGGAGAGCATTTCTTTGCCGAGGCCAAACGTTTGTTCGTGGAGAACGATGAATTCGAGCGCCCAAAGCTCACCACCGTTCAGGCATTAGCCATCATGTCCGTCAGGGAGGCCGGTTGTGCTCGAGAAGCCAAGGGCTGGGTGTACTCTGGCATGGCATTCCGGATGGCCCAGGACCTTGGCCTGAACTATGACGACGGCGGCACGTCAACGGACGAGAAGAATTTTGGAGAACAAGCGGTAGATGCTCGAAGGATAACCTTCTGGGGTTGTTTCTTGTTTGACAAGGCCTGGTCCAATTATCTGGGCCGGTTGCCACAAATACCGAAAAACTCGTATAACGTACCCAAGTACGACGTTTTTCCCAACGAGGACGCCGAGCTCTGGTCTCCTTATACAGATGCTGGGTCCGACCACACCAACAGGCAGCCATCGAGGACACGCGCGGTTGGCTTGCAGTTCACGACGCTCTGCGAAATCAGCAGCGATTTGCTGCTGTTCTTCTACCATCCTAACCACATCGGCCGATCGAGCGGGAAGGCCGTGGAGCTGAAAAAGCTGAGCGAGCTGCACCGGAGGCTCGAGGATTGGCGAAAGGATCTGCCTCAAGAGCTGGAGCCAAGAGAAGGACAGCTGCCGCACGTCATACTCTTGCAGTGAGTCTCTCCGTTCTTGATATGCTTCTATTCTGACTTTTGACAGCATGTTCTTCCATCTCCAATATATTCACCTCTTCAGGCCCTTCTTGAAGTACACCCCAGCAGCATCCCCACTTCCGTCGCATGTCTCTCCTAGAAGGATTTGCACCGCCAACGCTGGCGCCATGTCTAAACTGATGAGACTGTACAAGAAGTCATGGAATCTTCGCCAGATCTGTAACATTGCCGTTTACATGATTCATAGTGCTTGCACGATTCACCTGCTCAACTTGCCTGAGAAGACGGCCAAAAGAGACATTATCCACGGCGTGAAACATCTGGAGGAGATTGCTGAAGACTGGCCCTGCGCGCGGCGGACGTTGAGCATTATCAGTGTCTTGGGACGCAAGTGGAATGTTGAGCTGCCCGAAGAAGCTTCCGTTGTCCTTCAACGGACCGACGAGAAGTACGGCCACTACAACACCTCCGACGTCCCGACACCACGATCCAACACCACCTCTTCGCCATCTCAGCAGACAGTAGCACACATCCCAACAACTACTACCGAACCGGAGTCATTCAGCCCGATCACTCGTTTTGCCCAGCACCCAGTGAGCCAAGCGGATCTTTCTCCCAGCGATATCATCATGGGAAGCGCGTCCTTGGCACAAATAAGTGGTGCGGGTCCTCCAACCCAATCAAGAGCTGCAGACAACGTGTCTAACATGAGCATGACTGCGGAGTCTCTCGGTGGCAGCAGGCTTCCCGCTGGCCTCGCGCAGAACATATACCACCAACAAGCACCGCAACGCTTCACCCCCTTGAACAGTGCCCAGGGCAATGTCTTGAGTACCTCGCAGGCAGGTGTTCCGGCGGCTAGAGTGTCGACAGGCCAGGTGTTCCATGGGCTCGACCAGGACTGGTTCCTGAATGACGGCGCTAAATGGCATCAGAATTTTGAAGCGTGGAATATGCCGGGCTCCATGCCGACGAACGAGCAGATGTTTATGTTCGCAGATGGCAACAGCGGCATGCCGCCACGGCAATCATCAGAGGACACGTCCAACGCTTCCAACTTCGACAACCTGAGCTCCCTGACGAGTAACGGGTGGCTTCCCGGGCTGGACTAGGCAAGCGTGGCAGGTGGGGGCGGAATGGATGCAAGAGACGAACATGTACGAATCTTTAGCTAGCTACGATTTCTGAACATATTTTTTTTTTGGCACAAACTTGGTCTCAAAGCTCCGTCAAGCGGCCAGATTGAAGCAGCGCAAGGTCACGTTGGGGATGCTTGCTCAGCTCGCCACTCCAAACCCAAGCGCCTTTGAGACGTGTCCGGAGCTCAGACACATGATGGCTGAAAAATCCAAACTCCAAGCTGGCCAAGACGAAGTGAATCACTTGCCTAGATTGTGATAACACACGATAATCGCGTGGCGTGACATAGTGGCACTAGGCACGCACCGCCACACCGAAGCCGGTGGAAGGGGAGAGAGCTGGTCCAAAGTGGGGGCCAACATTCAACATTCAATGCATCTCCTCCGCGATTAGTAACCGAGCGTGGTAGGTGCGGATGTACCTACCTGGGCATGCTGGCAAGCACCTCTACCCTGACCGCCGCCCGATGAATGATGCATCCCCCACCATAAACGTCACGTCAGAGGTACCTCGACCCTGCCTTACTTACACTTACCGACCGCCCGTGCCTTCCATTTCCTCTTTGCTCCCAAGAGTAAAGACCAACGGAAGACCAACGCATCAAACGTGAAAGCGACCCTGGTTTTTTTTTTTTTTTTTTTTTCTCCCTCTTTTTCTTCCTGTTCATTTGCTTCCGTTTGGAACAAACTTCCTACGACTCACCCTCGCCTCCCGAAGCACAATACGCGTCTACCACTTCGTCTCGCTCTCGCTCTCTAAATAACCTACAGCTACTCCGCGCTGCGATCATCGCCCTTTGCTGTTGCTTTCTGTTGGAGAAATGCTCCTCTCCAAGCTCCGCTCACTGTACAGGGCTTAGCTTAGGTACGTCCCGCCCACCACCCCTACGCCTTACCACCACATCCCAACACACCTCCATTGCGCAAGCCCGTCTTGGAGAAGGGAAAAGGAGATAGATGCCGAAGACGAGCTTCTGGGGCGAATTTTGGGTTCTACCTCATTGGTTGCGCCTCCCGTTGTGAAGCATAAGGCCGACTCTGACATTGCTGCGTTCAGGCTCGACATATCCACATTTCCGCCTCCACCGATCCGACCTACAGTTCCGTGCCACCATACTCTCGTCGTGCTCTCCCGCTCTCCGCCGATAACGACCTGAACCTCGATTCGGCTGACGTCGCGAGGCTGTTTCCTACATCACCAGCACAGCGGACCTCCTCCCAAAGGCCGCACTTGCTTCGAAAATTGCCTTCCGACCTTCATTCACTGGGCTTTCATTTTATCGGATACCACGAGAGCACTCGGCAGCCTTCGCCAATAGCTTACGCGCCCGCCGAAGGAGATACTGCCCCTCCCAACAGCTCTACCCTAACTTCGCCCTTCCACATCATCCAGCCTGGCGTTCAGAGCACTCCGAGCCGCCGGCCTCGCTGTGGGCCTTGGACTTACCGCCCTAGCAGCCTACCAGCGCAACCAGGCTGAAATGGATTCGCACGCCACGAGAGGCGGTCACCTGGATGCCACGGCCGGTCGGGAAGTCGTATACTGCCATGCCTGCTCCAACGAGTGGTGGCAAGATGAGCATGGTTTGCAGTGTCCTCGCTGCGACAGCGAGATAACGGAAATCGTACGTCAAATAAAACTACCTGCGGTCCCGAGGATGCAAGATCTAACGAATGCACAGGTTTCGCCGGACAACGACCCCAGACTTATTGAGGATGGCCCTCCGCTGCATGATTCACCCTCTAATCGCCACAGACATCCGTTGGACGACGATTCTGACCCAGAAGAGGCCGACATAGAGGAGCATTTGCACCGAGGACCCAGTGGCTTTGTTCTCCATCGCACGATATGGGATAACCAGAGACCTGGACAGGGTGCTTCCCCTAACGCTCGGCAACCGACGGACCCGGCCGACGGCGACCAGATTATCAGGCGCTTCATTGATATGGTCAATGAGTTTGGTATGGGCATGCCTCCTCGCCCGCCGCCAGACGAGACCCGGCCGCCCCCTGGATTTGGCGGTGGTCTATTTGGAGGCCCAGGCAATGTGCGCACCTACTACAGAGAAGGCCGTGGAGGAACTACAAGCTTCACAATCGCTACTGGACCGATCCATATCCATCAAGGCGGCAACCGATCCCCCGTCGGGCCTGGAGCCGACCCCTTCCAATCGTATGTTCGCCAAAGTCCCCGTGGCCACCCCACCAATGGACCTCGAGTCACCATGATATCCATCAGATCCAATGCTAATCAGCTTCCCAGTATCTTCAGCAGTGTTCTGGCAGGAGCAGGACCCCCGACCCTGGGCGGACCTCCCAGTCCTGGCCAAGGACAGCGTGCGGCCGGTGGAGCGCCTACACTTCTCCATGAGATTCTCAACATGCTCAACCCGGCGAACGCTAGTCATGGAGATGCTGTGTACACTCAGGAGGCCTTGGATCGGATAATATCCACCTTGATGGAGCAAAACCCTCAGTCGAACGCGGCACCTCCGGCTACCGAGGACGCTCTCAGCAAGCTGAAGCGCAAAAAGGTCGACGAGAAAATGCTGGGACCAGAGGGCAAGGCTGAGTGCACAATCTGCATTGACGACTTCAGCCTCGGTGATGATGCGACAGTTCTGCCCTGCAAGCACTGGTTTCACGATCAGTGTGTCGTGATGTGGTTGAAGGAGCACAACACCTGCCCGATCTGCCGCACGCCTATTGAGGAGTCGAGCAGCAACAATGCCAGCGGCAGTGCGAGCAATGCTAACAACAGCGGAAACAACGCTTCCCAGCGTTCTCCTGATGCTGCCCCAGGTTCATCTGGCAGCAACCAGAACCCTGTATACTGGGATGATGCGCCTCCTGGGATCCCCGGCCACTGGGGAGCGCAGTCTTTTGGCAGCCGCCCAGTCTTTTTCGGTGGACTCGGTCCACCTCCAGTACCGGCGGACTCGACGCGTCCGGACCGATCCGCGGCTACCGATTGGGATGTTCCTTCCCCTCTGTATGGCTTTAGCACAGGCCGAGACATTAATCCCCAGCGCCCTCAGGAGACAAGCCGAATGTCTAGCTTCCGGTCTCGCCGGGATTCTCATTCGCCTCCTAGCCTACGTCGGCACCAGTCCGATTCATTCAGAGCTAGACACAGAAGCCCGTCTTCAGGAAACTGGGAGAGAAATCAAGACAATAACAATCAAGATGGCGGATCCAGTCACGGACCCTTGAACTGGTTGAGAAACACCTTTTCTCGGGGAGGTGGCTCGAGTGGTTCGGGAGACAACTCGAGAGACAGGCGTAGGGCCCAGTGAAGGGAGGCATGGTTGCCACAAGGGTTGGATGAGTGAAAAGTGATAATGGGCATGGACAAAACCATGTCAGGGGGGACTGGCCGGCGGCAGATTATGAATGACGAAATGGATTGCCGGCGTTTAGCATGGGTCGTTTTCTCCATTTTCTCCTTACGAGGGTCATATTCCGGGGCGACGCTTGATTGTCGCCCTGGACGTGTATTGGTAGATCATAGCCCACCACAAAGCAAGGGCATTTGGAATGATTACGGGCTGTCTCTTTTCGCATGTGATGTTCATGGTGCTCCGTTGTCACCCTCATCGGTGGGCATGGGTTTGGGTGACATGCGCAGCGTCCCAGCTTAGAGGTTCATTTACTCATCAAAAGCGCCATGGCAGCAAGGCTGTCAGTCTGCTTTACAAGTTCCATGAGGTTTTGGCAGAAAACATCACGACACCAGGTTAGGCTACAGGTGAACCAAACAGAAACATTGCAACACCGCCAGCCGGTTCCTCAAAACGGGAAACCAATCCCACTACCCCCATGACCACTTTCTGAATTTAGCGCGCTTGCTGGTCTGGTCAGCTCCAGAGGCCCTCTTCGGAATAAGAATCAAGGTATTGGTTCGTATAATATGGGTAGCCGGCTAGCTGGCTTTCTCCTGTTCCACGCCAATTCGATTCTTCGTGAAGTCTTGACAAATGTGCGAACGGTCTCGAGGGCCTTTTGTGATTGTATCGGGCATAGCTACAACTCATCTCGGCAGTGAGTACGCAGAGGCAAGTTGACGAGGAATGGTGTGGAGGTGGTTCTCGTCGGCGTTGTCGTCGTGTATGTATTCTGGCCTGGATATGTTGTGGACAGACAAGGGGGCATGGATGGCTTCGAGGCGGTGAAAAGGGGGGTTCCGGTGGAAATGTCTGCAGTTGGCTCTTGCAGAGGATTCAAGGTCTCGGTGGAATACCAGATTTCTGCAATCCCGTACGGTACGGATCCATGCGGCATTGCTGGCCCGGAACTCATTCAGTAAGAAGTGCTGAGGCTAAATTTATACTGATCAATGATCAGTCGATGTTCACACTGACCATTTAAACACGTGAATGTGGCCGGTCTGTTGTGTCGCGGCTCACATGTCTTGGTGCTTTCTTCGTTTGGGAAGAGGCCAGATGATGAGAAGAGTGTGTTATTGCTGTACAGTGGAGGCGTCTAGTACAAGGCGTTGTGTCCAGGTATCATGACACTCAGAGACGATCCTCGTCCCGCGTCTGGGAGAAATCCTGCTCTCATGTATAAAAGTACGGTTTTCTGGCAGGATCAAGCAACTTCAGGCACAATGATGTATCTATGTACCGTTGCCTGTTTCTAGTTAGAAACTCATAACATTCGCGCGAGCTTCTCTCGGGCCCGATGTCCCGTTCATGGTTCAAGTCATGGGCCATGAGAGCTGTATTGAGGACCCACCGTGGTCTTCTTTCTTGATGTATTATCTGACGATACCCCAACGGTGAGGATGACTGAAGATTGCGTTGGTATTATGGAGTCATTTTCCACGCTCCAGCGTTGATGTTCACTCACACGGTGAGGAAACATTCTGAGGTTGTATCCGGCATGTCTCAACTGGTCATGATGGCCTTTGATCAAATATCGACATCGAAGGGCCTCATTGCCAACTCCCGAAGATTGTGCGTTTGGCCGTC